TATACTATACTATACTATACTATACTATACTATACTATACTATACTATACTATACTATACTATACTATACTATACTATACTATTAATTATAATGTTTTTGATGGCCCATGTCCCTCAAGGGGGGGGAGGCTGTATTAATACTGCCAGCATAGAAATCATCCAAAAGTGTATCCGCCATGCAGCTCCATTGGTTGCTACAGTCCACAAGGCTCTGAAACTCTTCTCCCTACTTTCTTTGCTAGGGGAAGCAGCCCATCCACCCCCTTGCATCTGTAGGTCTCCATAACTGCATCATTGGCCATCTCCTTCACTGGAGGGCTTTAGGAAGAGAGAGGACAGTCATTTGTCCAGAGTGGAATAGGGCAGTGGTGTCAAGCAGGTGGCCCACGGGCCAAATGTGTCATGCGCAGGCCACGCCCACCCTAGCTCCATGATGGGGGGAAAATGTCACGAAATGTCACGTGATGACAATGGGACGCCGGGAGTTTGACACCTGTGGTAGAGGGTCTCCTGCTGAAGCAAAGAGTTGTGTCAGGGTCCCAAGTGACACCCCCAATGAAAGAAGACTCCGAGGCTTGAAGTTCCTCAAAGTTCCATTTTATTAGAGATGTTATATTGGCCCATCTGGGAAAACTCGAATCTGAACGCTTCCAGGTTTTCCCCACCCAAAAGAAAGCTCAAGTCCCTGCCCAGCACCCACATGTCTATCCCATGGCCCAATCAGGCACCCTCCATAACTGGAGATGCCTCCCAGTCACTTCATTGCAGCTGCAGGACAAGGTGGCTTTTTTTCTCTCTGAGAAAGGAATGTTACGTTGACTACACATCACCCATACTCCATACAACCCCCCCCCTCCCAATTTCCCACAGTGGAAAATGTGGCAGGCCTGAAGGCCCAAAACTAAAAGATGGCTTCCAGGTCTGACAGGTTGGACTAGTAGATCTCCAAGGTCCCTTCCAAGTCTATTATTCAGTATTCTGACCTGGAAGCCGATGCAGGAAGCCAGTGGTGTGGAATTGCTGCACCAGAGCAATCTTCTGGGTAACTCTCGGGTAGTTGGACCACGAGAGCATGTTCATAATTTAAACGGCCAACGTCAACCTCTGGTCCTTCAGTTAGGGCTGAATGTGTTTTCCAGCAGGTTTACTGGGACAGGTAATTACTGCAGGAGCTGCAACCGACCTGGAAGAGTTTGCTGTTAATTAAACCCTTGCTAAGGTGTCCAGTTTTCTTTCTGAGTAACCAAAGTTCCCATTCAGACTCCATTAATCACTTTACGGATAATGCGCTGGAGAAGGTCAAGACAGCGGTGAATGTCGTGGCGGCTTGGAATAAGCCCATTTACTTTCTTCTTCCAGCGAGTTGTGTTGCTTGCAGAATCCAGGGGTGCTCTGCGCCCCTCGGGCATAGTATCCGCTTTGTGATCCCTTCCACAATGATGATTAAATGTTAAATTGCTAGTGTCAATGCTCTGTAAACCAAACCAGGTACTGCTCTTGGCTGGAAATTTAACCCAAACTTCCACGGATGACTTGGCGTGCATCATAATTAAATCATCAAGTCTTTCCTTTTAATTCACTTGAAAACAAGAGGCCACCCCTCCCCTTCAGAGAGGAAGGAGGGGGACGAAAAGATCGGCTTTCTTGACAAGCTAATTAAGTTGCCAAACTGCCCGGTGCAGGACAGATTAAGCTAACAGATGTTAAGCACGGAGCTCTCTTAGCAGCCTGTTTTGTTATCGTTCTGCTGATCTGAAAGTCAAAATGTTTTGCCACTGATCATAATTTAGGCTTCATTTTACCTCCTCTGATGCAATGACTCCACCGTCAGCCTTTCGGTAATCCCTGGAGGAGGAAAATTCATTCTTGCTCTGAAATTATTTTTCTTACCGTGTTTTTTAGGATCTACTTAACAGATTGCTAATTTTTGACGCTAAAATTCCATTTGTGAAGACCAGTAATTTTTTTTCTCTGCAATGTTTTTTAGAGGAGGATACTTTTAAAAATTCATTAAAGGGCAAGAGTCAGATGCATGGCTTCCCCATAGCTGGAATGGAGAATAGATAGCTTTCCAATAGAAGCTTTGGATGGTAGCTGACTACAAAACTGAATGGAGTCAGTAGGACAAACGAACTGCAAAAATGATCAAATGCCCTTCCAAGATGTGTGGTTTCTACACTGTGTGAAGTCATCATTCCATTTTATTCTACTTTTTTCCGGGTCTCATGTTGAATACGGTACACACTTTTAAGATCTAGTCTGAGACCTTGGGAGAGGTTCAGAGAAGAGGAACAGGGACCATGAGAGGACCAGAAGTTGAGTCTGGTATGCTTAGCCTTCAGGAGGAACAGGCGTGGGGAGCCCTCTTCCAATGCCTGAAAGGATCCTTCACAAAGAGAGCTCAAGACTGGTGCTCTCTTGTTCTAGAGTGAAGGACGCGAAAGTTATTTTAAGTTACAGGGGAACAAATTTCAGCTGAACTGTAGCCAAAAACACTTCCCAGCCACAAGAATGGCTTGATGATGCACCCACAGTGTGATGGCCTCCTGATCATTCAATGTGCGCAAGCGGACGCAGGACCAGTGTCTGTCTGGGACGCTTTAATTTGGATCCCTGCGCAAAGCAAGGAGTTTGACTTGACTGCCGTAATGGCCACTTCCAACTTGGATTCCATGATTCTGCTGAGAGCACAGAAACAGCCCGTTGGCTCTGTGGGCATTTCCTTATGGTGAGAGAGGTCCGTTTTATGGACACAACATGTTCTGATGGTCCAGAACTAGCTTAGCAAGGATAATTTTTTAAGTCAGTCTTCACTTTCTGTGCTGAGCAGAGGTTTATATTCAGGTGGTTCGGACCGGTTCGCCCGAACTGGTGGCGGCCAACTGCGGATGGGCAGTTTACTTCCACCCACGCTGTGAACATACACGGACGCTCACAGTTGCGAACTGATGTTAAACCTAAGTCAATCTCACCGCTGGTGCTGAAGTATGTCAGGTCTACCCTGGGCCATTTGTTCTGCAAAGGCAGCAGGAATGGGAGACTCAAGGAGTTGTTAGCTGAGCATGTTACATGGCTGAGAGGCTTTATTCAGCTTGATAAGTCACACATTACACAGGATTGTTTGTTGTTCAGGAACTGCTGGCTTCACTGGAACTGGGCTTATTGCATATATCACTCGAGCATCCAACTTCAATTGCTCAGGGATGCCATTAGCTAGAAACTTTAACAAGCATCGCGTAAAACTTAAAATATGACCATGGTTTTTCTTTGCTTTAAACTGACTGTCTTCTCCTTTGGATGCAGAGCAAACCACGTCCCCAGTGGGAAAATACTAGCCGTAAAGGTAAGTTTGTTCACAAATCTGCTTTAAAAGATTCCCCTGCCTCAGTCTTCTTTTTCCAGGACTTTATTATAGGAAGCCAATTTTTGCAATGAACACACATCCAGACTGAAGGGCACAATTTATAAGTGAGGAAGTACAAGGCAATCTCGTCTCTTTTTTCTTGATTGTACAACTTGGTCCTGAGAGGAATACCGGCAGGGAAGACTTTTAATCTATTGCAGAATTGACAATGGTGCCTTTATATTAGCATTAAAAAAAAAACCCGCTACAGATTCTCTACAAGTGTTGAGGGGGGCTTTCTCCAGTGCAGTTTTTAATTTGATGGTGTGATTATTTAACTACCTGAAGTCAGCATCTCAGTATATCCCATAAGTTTTCTCATCTTAGATTGTTAAATTGTGGTTTCTTCCCTTTCCTCTTGATTGAATTCAAAAATTAAGATTCTTAAAAGACTTAAGAATGGAAGCTCAGGCTTTTAGGCCTGCTCCAGGGCTGATGCCTGTCTCTCCAACTTCTTTCTGATGCAGAATTACAAATAATTTGCTACCAAATTCTTCTCCTCCATCGTGGTGCTCTGGTAGAAGAACAAATTATTCTTAAAATTGCTTCCTCTTAAGATTTATTTTTTACCATCCCCAAATATCTTTACTGCATACACAACCACAATTGAGCCCAAAATTTCTTTGTCAAGCGAGACAGTTGTTAAGTGAATTTTGTCCCGTTTTATGACCTTTCTTGACACATTTTTAATGAATCACTGCAGTTGTTAAGTTGGTAACACAGTTGGGGAAGCCAGATTGTGAAGTGAATCTAGCTTCCCTATTCTCAGAAGGTCACCAAAGTTGATTACGTGGTCCCAGAATACGCCATCCGTCATAAATTTGAGCCAGTTGCTTTGGTTTCTACAGACAAAAACAACTGTGCTGAGGGTTAACCTGTGCCCCCATTGTGGCCAATCTCTACATGGAAGAGGTAGAAACTAAAGCCCTAAATTACTTCACAGGAATCCCATCCATTCACTGATCTAGGTATGTGGACGATATTGGGGTCGAGATTAAAACACAGGAATTGGAAGCCCTCACCAAACACATCAACTCTGTGGACAGATAGATCAATTTCCCACGAGAAGGTGTCAAGGAAAATAGTCTGGCCTTCCTGGACTGTGATGTCCACATTAAGGAAGACAGAAGCCTTAACACTGAAGTTTACATCAAACCCCACCCAGAGATCAATATTTACATTTTGATTCTCATCACCCATTGGAGCACAAAATGGGAGTAATCAGAACCCTATATCACCTGGCTGAAGGTCTATCTACCAGCAAAAGAGAAAGAGCTAAAAAGCATGTTAAGGAAGCCCTCAGAACTTGTGCTTATCTCAAGTGGGCCTTCATCAAATCCAAAAAAAAAACCAGCAGGGGCTCCTCCATAACAGACAAAGAAGGGAATCAATGTGTTTCCCATCTTTGATGGTAGGCAGACCTTCAGCCCGGCGGTGTAAGGTTCTGATCACTCCCATTTTTGTGCCCCAGTGGATGGTGAGAACCAAAATGTAAATATTGGGCTTTGCTTATTGGAAGCCAGCTGGGATTATGATCACGTGACCTCAGGACATTCCAGCCATCACCAAATGCAAGCCGTTTGCCAAGCGCCCAAATTACAATCATGTTACCGTGGGGATAGTGCGATGGTTGTAACTTTGAGGACAAGTCATACATCGCTTTTCAGTGCCAACGTAACTCTGAACAAAAGGACGTAGAAGGACAAAAGGAGTTAAACAAAAGGACGTAAGTCGGGGGCTACTTGCATTTGATGGCCAGTGGCTCTAAATCCTTTCAAATAGTCCCTCTTGCATATACTTAGGTGGGGCTCTTTGACAGATGAATAAATTGTTTCCATTTATAGATGCCAATAAAAAAAATCCCATGTAAATTGTGTTAGAAGTGTAAGAAGTCAGGGTGGAGGGAACCCCAAACATGGCTCTGCCCATCTTCTCCAAGGCCTCCACCCCACCGTCATGGTCAAGACTTATTAGATGCCAGAGGCTTCCCTGCAGCAATGAAGCACCAACTGACCAACCTGTGCATGGCGAGCAGGTGCTTCTGTGTGCCAGGCTGCAGTTCCTGGGAGTTTCTTCCGCTCTTAACTAGCATTTAAATGGTCCATTTGATTAATCATTTGTATACTGCCTATCGAACTCCCAAATTTCCTCTGAGTTGTACATACTGTAAAAGACAATTATATTGCCGCAGATTAAATAAGTGAATTAAAATGGAATTGCAGCTTAATTTGACCTGTGATTTTGCTCTCATTCCCTTTAGAGGCACACACGCAACTCCGGCAAATAGATGAAGTCATCCATGACAGCCCGTGATGAATTGCCATCGCTATACTGTATATTTTAATAGCCTCTCACTAATTTAAATTGAGCACCAAGTAAATTATAATTCCGTCACTTGAGTGCTTGTATTTAACTTGACAACTCATCCTTGTTTGTCCTGGAGGTGTAGCAGAGAGAATGGCTCAGGTATTTCTGGTGGGGTTTAACCCTTTCTCCGTGAAATCCGGCTTGAGAAACCCCTTTTCTGTGGCCTGGTGGTTATTTAACAGAGCGGATGGTGTCAGGCCGGGCCTTTTCAAATCAGGAGACACAAGGCCTGTTTAGGCAGGGCTGTTTTTCCTAACCCTGCTTCTGTTGTCTCTGATTCACTTTTACATCATGAAATTAATAAATTGAAATAAGGATTTGAACCCTAATGCAAATTCATGGGAGCCATTATCTCTTTCTCCAGTGAGAATAATTAAAATAAAATTTATTTATTTATATTTCCTATTTCTGAACCACCTTCAGATTCATTGCTGGGTGCCCAGGCATCCTGAACCTGCCAGTCCAAATACTCCAACAGCATAATCCCAAACAGACGTCTTTTTAGCAAACTTTGAGAAGACGTTGAGGAATTTGCTTCACTTTTAAAGGCAAACGTCACCCACATCATCTGAGACCACAGTTTGAATTCTCTTCTCTTTTCATCCGCCTCTTCCAGACAGTCCTCGAGTTATGAGTGCAGTGGGGCCTGGAATTTCCATCATAGTCATGACAGTCATAACATTCATGCGATGGGACCTGATTTTATAAAACTTTATTTTCCCACCAGTCTTAAGTTTATGCAGCATCGTTCAGGGAAGGCCATAGTCGTTAAGTGAATCAATGTATTCCTGTGTTCATTTTTTTTCCTGGAAACCTGCCAAAAAGTCATACATTGTGGTCATGTGACCATGGAATGCTGCAACCGGTGTGAAGGTGAGCTGGTTGCCACATCCGGAGAGTGCAGCCATGCAAGGTTGAAAAATCCTTCTGTAGTAGCTCCTTAATCCTGCACCGTGTGCGATCCGTGCCATCAGTTGCATCCTCACTGGTTTTAACGGAACAGAATCGGAAGGGACTTTGGAGGTCTTCTAGTCCAGTGGTCTCCAACCTTGGCAAATTTAAGACCTGTGGACTTCAACTCCCAGAGTTCCTCAGCCAGCAAAGGAACTCTGGGAGTTGAAGTCCACAAGTCTTAAAGTTGCCAAGGTTGGAGACCACTGTTCTAGTCCAACCGCTTGCTCAAGCAGGAGGACCTAGAGTCACTCTAGACCATTTCAGACAAGTGGCTGTGGTCTCTCTTCTTAAAAGTCTCCAGTGATGGAGCACCCACAACTTCTGAAGACAAACTGTTCCACTGGTTAATTGTTCTCATTGTTAGGAAATTTCTCCTTAGTTCTAGGTTGCTTCTCTCCTTGATTAGTTTCCATCCATTGTTTGTTGTCCTGCCTTCTGGACCTTTGGAAAATAAATTGCTCCCCTCTTCTTTGTGGCAGACCCCCAAATACTGGAACATGGCTATCCTTTCACCCCTAGTCCTTCTTCTCACTTGGCTAGACATACTCAATTCCTGCAACTGTTCTTCATGTTTTAGCTCCATCCACCTAATCATTTTTCTTGCTCTTCTCTGAACTCTTTCCAGAATCCCAACATCCTTTTTTTAATAATATGGTGACCAAAACTGGATGCAGTATTCCAAATGTGGTCTTACCGAGGCCTTATAAAGCAGTGCTAATACTCCATGTGATTCTACCCCTCTGTTTATGCAGCCTAGATTTTGTTGGCTTTTTTTGCCAGCTGCCACGCTCTGTTGGCTGATATTTAGATGATTATCCACTAAGACTTAAGATCCCTCTCGCAGATCCTGCTATTCACCTAATCTGTACCTGTAATACCTAGTATTAATAATCTCTACCTATTCATCTAATCTGCACCTTTTAATACAGAGACTTTTTACACACGGCCTGGGTAGCACGATGTGATGTATACAATGTGAATATGTAATTTGGGGAAGCAGCCATGCCCACTATTTTATTCAAAATGGGGCTGTGTTCTTAAAAATCAATGTACCTGTAAGTTACAGCAGCTTTCAGGCTTTCTTGCTTCATTTCCTATCTTGGCTGATACTGAATTTGCCTTCTGTGATCAATATCCAGCCGAAGGTTTTGCAGTGGGCAAGCTTGTCTAGAGGAAAGCTGAACTTACCAAAGTGAAAAGGAACATTAAAGTTTTGAAATGGCCTCTTTAGAGTCCGGAGAGGGTTAGATTTTCCTTTTACTCTAAGGAATAAAATTGATACAGCGGTTCCAGCAGTTTACTTTGTTTTAAGCTTTCCATCCAGGAAAAAAAATGTAAGTGAATATTGTTGGCAAATGACTATTGATTTGGAGAAATGTGTTAAATGTTTTCTTGGCAGCGTTTCTATTACAGTTACAGCTTTTATAAATAACCCTAAAGCAAATTCTTGATAGGAATGGTTGTGCACTTTCCCCCCCTGTTTAGACAGACATCAATACTTTAAAAATGTAGGTTTGGAAATCAGCTGGATGTGAGCAAGGGATTGAAAGACATTTCCACTAGAAGTCAAGCTGCAGGGGAGCACTGGCTGTGCTGAATCCACAAAGCGTATTTGATCCTGAAATCCCCACCCATATTCTGAGAAATGTAGGCCTGGATCCTGTTTTTCCCAGGCAGGGATGGCATTTGGGGGAGAGAAGCATTTACCTCAGGATTGAAGAAGGGTTCTTGAGCATATACAGAGAACCTTCGGAGCAGGTGGGATCTATCCTCACATTTTCTAGTCTAATCATCAGAGTTTCCAGGTGCTTCCAGTTATTATTTGTCCTACAAATACAGACATTTAAGTAATACAAGTAGTCTTCGACTTACAGCAGTTCATTTAGTGACCATTCAAAGTTACAACAGCAATGAAAAAAGTGACTTATGGCCATTTTTCACATTTACGACCCTTGCAGTGTCCCCATGACCATGTGATCAGAATTCAGAAGCTTGGCAGCTGACCCACACTTATGACGGTAGATGTGTCCCAAGGTCACATGATCCCCTTTTGCAGCCTTCTAACAAGCAAAGTCAACGGGGAAGACAGATTCATTTAACAACCATGATACTAACTTAACAACTGCAGTGATAACAACTAGAGCAAGAAATGTCATAAAATGGGGCAAAATTTACTTAAGAACTGTGTCAGCATTCCAAATATCATCCAAAATTAAATCAAAGTCCAAGGCAAAACTTTCCTCAAACTTCCAATTTATTAAGAGAGACATGTTGGTACATCTGTGGAAACCCGAATCTGAAAGCTTCCTTGGTTTTCCACCCAGTTGAAAGTTCATGATCTTGTCCCCACAACCCCAAGTCCATCACATGGTCCAATCTTCCTCTGCCACGCTGGCAGTTCCACCCATCCAGTTCCGGTCAGGTGCAGAGGTGTGGAGACAAAGGATGACCTTGGGCTTCTAGAAAGGAATGCTTTATTTTGACAATAACATATTCTGCTCCTTACTATTCCCCCTCCCAATTCCCCACTAATGAAACAGCATAGTAAAATAAGAGAGAGAGTGTGGCAGGCCAAAGATCCTAAAAGGAATATGACTGCAGACCTGAAAAACTGTCTCACTTAGCAACAGAAGTTTTGGGCTCTATTGTGGTTGTAGGTCAAGGATTACCTGTAGTTAGGGAGGGGCAAAACATTTCACTCTGAACACAGAATGTTCTGGAGAAGATAGGAACTTTCTATGTGAATCCAGGGTGGCCCTAAAATTTTCTAGAAGAAAA